CCAAAGAGAAAGCGAATATCAGTTTTACGCCAAACTCGGCAAATCTAAAACAGAGAACTCTGAAATGATTTAGAAGGCTTGTCAAAAAGCAGTGAGGCATGCAAGGTGTTTTGAGTGGCACTTGCGCCTCAAGAATGGCAGAATGAGAGGTCGGATAAGGTCGCCCTACTGCTCTTCATCTTCCAGCAATGCCCTGCCGTTCCTGAAGTGTGAGTGGCACTTAAAACACTTCGCAAAATTCACTGCTTTTTGACACAAGCCTGCTGAATCATTTCAAAGGTCTCTGTTTTTTATTTGCCGAGTCAGACGCGGAATTGATGTTTGCTCTCGCTCTGGTTTGCAGTCCATGGTCAAATCGCCATTGTGCCCATGCACGTGGTCACAAACACTTGCGTAGCGCAGCTCCAAATGTTCACAGAGTGACACCCTTTGGTATAACGAGACATATGAAGGTTCCTTCCTTCAATTGCTGTGGGCGCATCACTGTGCTGCCCTATCTTTTTACGCTACAAAATCAGCCTCGGAACTTTTTAATTATGCGCGCATCACTGTGCTGCCCTATCTTTTCACATATATAGTGTATATATATATATATATATATATATATATATATATATATATATATATATATATATATATATTACGGGCACTTTTTCATCATCGTATGTGGTCTCCCGAGGAGGAAATAAACAAACAGAATGCATCGAAGTTCCCTCGATGCATTCTGGCACCGGCAGTGTAACAAAACTGGCTGGTAAGATCAATCTCTTTCTAACACCTGAATACGATTACGGTATCTCCAAATTTTGAGCGAGCACTTGTTCGGGATTTTACGGTAGCTAAAAATATGTTTGCAGCAGGTGAAAGCTATTGCACTGAGGAGCATGACCGTAGTCCAACTTGAGGAACCTCGCGACTTATTGATGAACCAGCAAAGGCAGATTTGAACACGACCGGAGTGGTAAAACTAATTTGGATTACGAGAAAACCATTGCCACATAAACAAAACATGGTCCACAAGACCGAAGATCACCTTAGACAGACACCCGTACCACAGGAGCAGATAGTGCAGTGGTCAAGTCCTCCGGACCCACGCCGACACCCAAGGCCGTCCTGAGCCAGAGTGTGCGCGTCTCTTCGCGGCCCGAGCCAAGCACCTCGATGCGGTCCGGAAAGACTGAGACGGTCGAGAAGGCCTCCTGTTCGGGGGCAGTCTCTATGATTCCGGCCAGTGCCATGTAGTGCACACCCTTCGTATCCACAGCGTATCCGCACCGGTGGGTGTGTCCGCACAGGTAGAGCGCCACGCAAGGGTGCGCATCAAAGAGGCCCATCACCTCCGCGTAGTTCCCACAGCAGGCAGTCTGCGCCGGCACTTGCCGGGGAGATGGCCAGGTGACCTGGGGCAACAATGGTGAATAGACACTTTATATAAAAGAGCGCCTACTGTTTTACGGAAAGGCAACTAGCTGCCGATGCAATCTTGAAGGATACTACGTCGCTCGTGCCAGTCTGTGCTCGTTTCAATGTTGCAATACTAATCGCAATACAATAGCGTTTTGTTGTGCGAGGTAAGATAAAGATTGGTCCAGTTGCCTGATTTAGTGAAGAAACTGTTTTTGTCTTCTGCTATGATTCCCACACTAAAAGTTGGTTACGATCAGGGTGGCGACTGGCCGTTTGACGTGGCAAGGCCTTGCAAGGCTTGTTTGATGCATAGATTTGCAAGTGAACCTGATACACTACAGATAGAGTTAGTATTGTTATTAATAACAACAGTTGGGTTATCGCTTTTGAATGCGGCTTTATTCGTGTGGGAAGTTGCGTTCATAGACGCAGAAGATGGGTAAAACTTACGACCCTCGCGTGCTTGTCTGTCAGATTTAAACAGCCGATTATTACAGGGTTTTAGATAGCCAAGTACAATTAAAAGTGTCGTTATGACAATATCTTTGTAGTTAATCCGTGTACCAATTGCTTTCGAAGGATTAGTCATTTTAGCAACTACGTTCCACGAGGCATGGGAGAATTATTTAGCCGCGAGTATATGACTTATTGAACAATATATTAAAATTAACTTCACGCAACAGATTTCAATATAGGTACTTTATTTGTTTGCATGCAAATGTTAGGTTCTGTGGCAGAACTTAAAAACAACCCAGTAAGAATTACGACATAATCATATTTGGCTTTTACATAACCAGTCTACACAAATGATGTGCTAGCACCATCCAAGCATAGGGACACAGCATTCGTAAAACTGCTTCTAGACAAGGAGTCCACAGCTGCTTTAAATGCTGTCTGCAACCTGCTAGCAAGTTTGGCAGTCAGAGGACATAATACTGCGATAACTAGCAATCGGCGGGCCCGTAGTCACCGATAAGCTTGCGACTGATCGAGAATAGACTCGAGAATAACAGGCCGATGCAACTGCAAGCCTTTCAGCTCGCATAGCCATGAATATTGACTTATCTTTCACAACAAGGTGGCTGCGAGCTTATCACTGAAACACATAAAGGAAGTTCAAAGAACTAGTCCACTAAATCGGGTAGCGTCCACTTTCCGAGATGCCCGTAAATGTTCTACAGGAATTGCAGCCAGCCATTGGTCCCGATCCCGATGATCTTTCAGATACTTGTGCAGACTCTGCCGCACAACGCCACTTTTGGATGCAGAACCTGTGAGGCAGCTCTTCACGCAACATCTTAGGGGCATTCTTTTCGGAGCCGATCACGGGCATTCACCACGGCCACTCACTGCTCATTTCCAACTTTTCAATGTACAAAACAACTCATCTTGAAGTGCAGAACAGCGAGCGGAACAAACATAACTGCAAAGCAATCGCACGGAAAATGGTACCCGCAATGCTGTAATGTCGTCTGCTGCGCATAACCAACAAAAAAAAAAAAGAAAACGGTTGGGTGTAGTTACGTGACTTCCGGCACTCTCTCCTCCTCTATATTTCTCCGACCTCCGTGCGCATGTTTCAGTTTCGAGCAGTTAGGTTTCTTGCCTTTATTAAAAATATATGTGACTCTGTAGCAAAACATTATTCGTATAGTCTTCTGACATTACAATAAATTGCCTGGCAAAAAATTGAAAATATTTCTTTGGGGTGTGTCAGTGTCTTTTTAACTTGAGAGTGGGAAGGGGGGGGGGGGGGGGGGGGTGGTGTCTTTAACGCATTCGCTACCAAAGTCGGCGAACCACCGGGCGTGCCGTCAGGGGCCATATTGCCAAAGCCGGCGATTCGTCGGGCTGCACAAATTTCTGTTTTAAAGAGCCATTCATAGATGACGTGCTACATAGATTTGGGGTAGTGTAGTTAGATACATTGCCAACAGATGGCGAGAGTCGTTTTGTTTGCTTTGTTCGTTTGAGCTTGTTCTTTTGTCTGTAGTCTTTCCCACTCGATCGCTTCCTGCTTGAAGAAGATGGCAGCGTCCAATGTACAGTGAGGACTTCCTGACGATGAAATCATAGATATCCTCTTTGACAGCGATGATGATGGGACGTCTGGTGAGGACAGTAAGTTTTCGGAGCCTTCTGTCGACGACGATAGCGATTCCGACAGCAGTTCTGAGTCTGAATCACGACAAGATAGCACTGGTTGCGCGACGCCTAAGCGAAATGAGGATGGAGTTCTTCAAGATCTTTTTTTTTCAAACAAGGAAGAATCTGTGAGGGTCTAGTGATTTGTAGGCTTGAACGAACCACTTAAGCATGTAAATAAACATGTTTTCTTGTTTTCTGCACTGAGTTTTACTGTAAAAGCTTATTAAACAAGCAAAACAGTCATGCCTAGTGTGGCCCTGTTTTAGGGGAAAAACATGCGGCACAGACGGCCCGGCAGCGCATGACGTGCGTGGTAGCCAGAGGTCGGCATTTTAGGTCGCCCTCACTCACCCTCACCCTCACAGCCACACTCACCTAAGCCCCTCACTCACCCTCACAGCTACACTCACCTTCAGCCCCTCACTCACACTCATCCTCACAGTCACACTCACCTTTAGCCCTTCACTCACCCTCACTGAACCTCACGCACTCACCGCCCTCATGGCCCTCACGCCCCTCACCACACTCACGGCCTTCACGGCCCTCATGGCCCTCACGACGCTCACCGCCCTCGCGGCCCTGACCGCCCTCACGGCCCTCACGGCCCTCACCGCTCACACACTCATAGCCCTCACGCCACTCACTGCTCTCACGGCCCTCACGCCACTCATGGCCCTCACGCCACTCACCGCCCTCACGCCACTCACCGCCCTCACGCCCCTCGCCGCCCATGCGGCCCTCACACCCCTCACGCCCCTCACGCACTCATGGCCCTCACGCCACTCAGGCCAGCTTCAGATGGGGCAATTTCGCCCAGAAACTTTACGTCGCAACACCAGCAACACGGGCCGCCCGCGATCACACGCAGCAACCAATTGCTGCAATTTGCCATCGTCATCATAAAATTTTATTTTTCTTGCACTATTTAGACAGAATTACGCGTTATAAATGTGTTTTTATGCATTTAAACCTCATTAAGAATACTAATGCACCTTTCTGAAACAGTTTATTTGAAGAAAAAAAACGATCGATTTCAAACCAGAACCAAGTCATTCGGTGTCATCATCACCGGCACAAGGTATCACGTGAAAATTTTGCGTCCCTGATTGGATGCAGCCGCTTCAAACGTATTCGAATTGCTCCGAGTTGCTTGCTTATTTCGAGCCGGACCCGATCTCAGCAATTCGTGTCGATCTAGGGAAAGCTAGAGAACAACCCGCAATTAACACCAAAATTGCTGAGAAAGATGCTCGATCTGAAGGGCGCCTCACGCACTCACCGCCCTCACGCATTCATGGCCCTCACACACCTCATGCACTCACCGCCCTCACGCCTCTCATGCCACTCACTGCCCTCACGCACTCATGGCCCTCACGCCATTCACCGCCCTCACGTCCCTCACGCACTCATGACCCTCACCGCCCTCACGGCCCTCACTCACCCTCACACTCATGAATTTTCCTGGTTCAGAAACTCACTCACCCTCACCTCACCTGTGAAGATGAGGGTGAGTGAGGGCCCTCATGAGTGAGGTTTGCCAAGGTATGGTGGTAGCCAATGGGTTAACAACATCTTGGTCCTTAAACATGAAACTTCATGCACAATGTGGCCACAGACAGTGGCAGTTTCATGCGAGAATGTTCTTGTCTTGTTATCCGTCGTAGACCATGAATAACTATACCCCCTGCAAGTTCGTCTGCCCTTTGCACCCCCTAGTGGCGCTACATGCTTTTGTTTCATCCAACCTCGTTATTGCGAGTTTCCTACGCGTTAGCTATGTTGCTCTTCGATTGGTATACTCCTCCTTGTGTTCCGAAGTGCTGAAGACACATTTTGGAACACTTGCTCGCCAAATACTATGAACACTCTGCAGACAAGGAAACCTTGTTCACAAATGGCACAAAAATAATTGCAATAGATAAGGTGCCTTCGTTCCACAACCCCCTTGCAACCCAATTTCTCGGTTCACAACCTTTTGGAATCTGAAAACCCTCGATTTAAAACACAAAGGCGGCAGATGCTCACCGAACACAACCGCCACTTCCCCGAGGGCGTCAGCTCTCGTCAGCTCCGCATCCAGCCATCGCAGCTGCGCGTCGCTTAGCGCTCCGTTGGAGTCGACGAAGCGTTGGTCCAGGCCCGTCAGCTCCCCTGTCTGCTCCCAGCACTCTTCGTCCCAAGTGCCGTGCGCACGAGCCAAGAGCTCCGCGGCCATTCGTCGTTGAGGCTCCCGGGGATCCCGGCCCAGCACGCTCACATCGAAGCAGTCCAGCGAGATGAGGCGCACGCCGGGGCGGGGCGTGAAACTGCACAGGAGGACAGCATGGCGCAACTTACCGTACAATCCCTTAAAAATGCCCACCCAAAATTAATAGATAAAGGGTGAAAAATATGAAGTGAGTAAACTTCAGAGACGTGATAGCAAAATTTTATAAAAAGTTTGCGATAAACCATTATGGCACCCGCTACAAACTATGTGAACACGAACATGGGAACATTAGTGTTCCAAGGTGCGGTAAATACGCAGGAATTCGCTTACAAACTCTCGTGTCGTGGGAATGAATACAGTCGATAGCAGATGCAGCAGATTCAAGCTTTGCGGTGTGACGAACATGCGAGAACCCACAACTCGGGGGTCACAGGAATTAAATTTGCGAGCACAGATTGTGGACCAAAAACGTGGGAACTTGCTACAAACTCACTTGTCACACGTACCGATACCGCAGATTACGCGGCAGATGCGATTTCCATCGAACAATGCGTGATATTTCACGCAAATTAGGGGGCTGGGAGATGCTTAAAAATTTTTATGTTATGGGCATTCAGCCAAAAAATCGGGACGGGTGATCTCTTGAAGGAGGGCATTCATACCAGATTTTACGGTAGCATAATATATGTGCCATGACCGGATCACTCGTGCAAGTAATTTTGCATCTGCATTATGTGCAACACTGAATCTGTCGTTCACAAATCACCGCGACCGTGGCACCTGGGATGCATCTCCAATTGGAATGTTCATCGTGTCTTCATTTACGTGCCCCTCTAGTTCTGCCTAGAGAATTTTGCGACTGTGTAATGCTGCGGATCGCTGCAATTCCAGCAGTGGCACAGCAGCGGTGGTGGCTACAACAGATGCCTATTCTGATGTAACCTTCCCCTGCAGCCGGCCAGTGCATGGAAACTCCGGTACCCCCGGATGGTACACCCGTAACTACAGAGACACTTGTGTCTGCTCGTCCTCTTATCCGACACTTTTATGATCAGCCACTAAGACTGCGACAATACCATCTCACAATACTTCTTGTGATGTACAGTCATGTCTTGTTAAGGGAACAAGCTATGGGGAGAGACACATTTTTTATTTTTGCCCAAGGACAATGAAACTTCAAATATTTATGGAGTTTTGCCTGCTCTTTTCAAAACAGTCATAAGTTTTAATGTGGCTTATAGAGTTTTTGCTTAGTGCCCCACCCAACGACAGAAAAAAGTACTTTTTGTGCGCACGCTCCAACATACTAATTTTTCACAAGGAGCATTGGGAAATAGCTCATTTTGCTCTTTATGAAGTGTAGGTTGAAAATAACTAGTCAAAAGCTGCATATTAGTTTCCAATCCTGAAAGAAAGAAAAATATAAGATCTTGCAATACTTTCATTCTAGAAACCCTTTGGAAGTTTTTCAAATTTCTATAAATATAACTGATATTGCAATTTTAAATACCCCATACCAGCACTTTACATATACCTAAAATCGTAGGTAAAAAATTTCATTGTGATGCAAAGATTCTAAATGCCAATGATGGAGCGTATACACTGTGAAGAGCGCACAAAATTGCAAAATGAGAAAAGTGTGTTTGAAAGTTCAAAATATGTGTACTCATCAATATAAGTGAGATATATCAATTTCAAATACATACTAGCATTCTGCATACTGTGAAGATCATACGGACAAAATTTCATTATGATGTGAAGGCTCTAAGTACCAACAACAAAGCACACAAACTATGAAGATTGCCCGAAATTGCAAGAGAACAACACAGTTGGAAGTTCAAAAAATGCATTCTTGTCGACAAGCAACAGTAATTACACGAAATTCGGCTCGAATTTGAGCAGGGTGTCTAGAGAGAATGCGGAGTGACTAAAAGTCTCCCGCACTCTAGGTTGTTCTCTTATGGACCTTGCGACAGTCCTCAAGACGGGCCTTCCTCACCATGCTGCGGCGGTGAGCTCAAGCCTCTGCTGTCTGTGGGGGCAGACATTCTCCGAATCCGTAGTTCAACACGGGAGTCGCCAAGAGTGACAAGTCCTTCAGGTGGAAGCACTCCGAGCTCCTCCAAGACAGATTCAAAGCTTGCATACCCTCTATTGGACCATAGGACTGCTGTTGCTGTGGCTGTTTCCATGACCGTCTGGGAGGCAAACCTGGTCGTCTTTGGGCAGAGCAGACAGATATTGCTGTTGAGAGATTTTGCAGCATTCTGGGTTTTCCCTCCGATGCAGCAGGCCAACAGCTTCTCATCAGTCAACCGCTTGTAAATGGGGAGTACTGCTTTCCCCCAGGCCTTGGTCAGGGTTGGGGTGTGGTCTGGTGCAGGCTCTTCCAGGGCTTTGGCTCGCTTGTGTTTGCACCAAACAACGCTCCCTCTGGGCAGAACTTGTGGGTGTGAGCAGCGTTGATCGAGCATGAGTGCAAGTATGATGTCCATATGGCACAATACATGCTGCGGATGTTGCCTCTGTTGCTTATCACCACAATCTGATAGTATGTTTGAAGTTTCTGGATGGTGCAGTCCTTCAGCTTCTCTCCATGTGGCAGTAATGTCTTGAGTTTGTGAAGGCCAATGCCCAGACGCTTTGCCACATGGTTAGTGCAATCTTCCTTCGCAATTGCTGCGCCATCATACACACTGGTTTCGGACACTGCTGTGAACGCCTTACTGTCTCTATCGCTCAAAGACTTGGTAAAGTGCTGTGGCGTCTTGTAAGATAGGGTCCTTTGCCATATGTAGACTGCTGCCTCTGTCTCCGTGGTTTGGGAGGAGCACTTGACATTCTTCTGACAGTCGGCACTATGGAATGCCTGCCAGGTCTCTTCATCTTCGCCCAAGTTTTGGTGCCGACTACATGTAAGGCAGTAGTTAGACAAAACTTCAAAATCCAAACACTGACCAATGTCCACAGACAAGGTTGTGCCCACACCGTTGTGGCTTTTGTGGCCCCTCTTCTGCCATGTACCGTTGAACATTACGGGCAACATCCACTCCACCCACCTCTTCTTTCGTCAGGGGCCTGGCCTTCTCAAGGTTCTGACTGGCAACTGTCATGGCAGCGGCATGAACCTTCTTGCCGATCGAATCGAAGGTCTTGCATGTGCATGGGCGTCAACAGGCTGAGAATAGCACAGAAGCGTGAAAGTTGCTCATGTCCTGCATCTGTCACACGCAGGCCACTATAGATTTCACACTGACTTCAAAACCATTGCGCGAGCTCCCACTGCCGTGGCATCCGTTCGTGCTTTCGGCTCTACCGGGGGTGACACGTTTCGACGTAAACATAGAGGAAAGAGCTGACTTGGGGCACTCGCTGTTTTTGCAGTGCAGTGCAAGGAATGACGCAAGCCCCTTACGCTTCCCCGCCGACTACCAGAGGGAGAGTTTGCCCTCGTTACAAGCGGGGCAGGTCACGCCACTCACAAGTGTCGTCAGAGCACCAATGTCACACACCACTGCACTCGCAAAGCCATCGCCGCTTCTTCTCTCTTTGTTTTCGAAGAACCTGATTTTCCTTTCCGAAGCACTGACAAATGTCAGCTGGGTCGATCTCTTCAGAGGCGTCGGAACAGTTACCGTTGCTGGGGTTAGGCCTATCGGGCAACGGTAAACTTTGTGCTGCTGGCGTTCTTCACTTGAGTTTACGCCGCCTTCCTTTTGACTTGTACTTGATATGGAACTTTCGAACAGTAAAATCGCGCTTTTTAGAGTTGTCCATTGCAAATAAAATTGGAAAAATGTAGAAACACCGTGGTTCTTGTTTCCGACGTAGCGACGAGAGCAAAACCTAGGCTTTGCTCCTATCACACAAGCATACCTCGGCAAACCTCACTCATGAGGGCCCTCACTCACCCTCATCTTCACAGGTGAGGTGAGGGTGAGTGAGGGCTGTGAGGGCTGTGAGGGCGGTGAGGGCGGTGAGGGCCATGAGTGCGTGAAAGGCGTGAGGGCGGTGAGTGGCGTGAGGGCCATGAGTGCGTGAGTGGTGTGAGGGTGGTGAGTGAGTGAGGGGCATGAGTGGTGTGAGGGTGGTGAGTGAATGAGGGGCGTGAGGGCGGTGAGTGCATGAGGTGTGTGAGGGCCATGAGTGCGTGAGGGCGGTGAGTGCATGAGGTGTGTGAGGGCCATGAGTGCGTGAGGGCGGTGAGTGCGTGAGGCGCCCTTCAGATCGAGCATCTTTCTCAGCAATTTTGGTGTTAATGGCAGGTTGTTCTCTAGCTTTCCCTAGATCGACACGAATTGCTGAAATCGGGTCCGGCTCGAAATAAGCAAGCAACTCGGGGCAATTCGAATACGTTTGCAGCGGCTGCATCCAATCAGGGACGCAAAATTTTCACGTGATACCTCGTGCTGGTGATGATGACACTGAAAGACTTGGTTCTGGTTTAAAATCTATCGTTTTTTGTTTTGGAACTAAACTGTTTCAGAAAGGTGCATTAGTATTCTTAACGAGATTTAAATGCATAAAAACACGTTTATAACGCGTAATTCTGTCTATATAGTGCAAGAAAAATAAAATTTTATGATGACGATGGCAAATTGCAGCAATTTGTTGCTGCGTGTGATCGCGGGCGGCCCGTGTTGCTGGTGTTGCGACGTAAAGTTTCTGGGCGAAATTGCCCCATCTGAAGCTGGCCTGAGTGGCGTGAGGGCCATGAGTGCGTGAGGGGCGTGAGGGCCGCAAGGGCGGTGAGTGTCGTGAGGGCGGTGAGTGGCGTGAGGGCGGTGAGTGGCGTGAGGGCGGTGAGTGGCGTGAGGTCCGTGAGTGCCATGAGGGCGGTGAGGGCCGTGAGGGCGGTGAGTGGCGTGAGGGCTATGAGTGCGTGAGGGCGGCGAGTGGCGTGAGGGCGGTGAGTGGCGTGAGGGCCGTGAGGGCGGTGAGTGGCGCGAGGGCCGTGAGGGGCGTGAGGACCGTGAGGGCGGTGAGTGCGTGAGGGCCGTGAGGTTCAGTGATGGTGAGTTAAGGGCTGAAGGTGAGTGTGACTGTGAGGGTGAGGATGAGTGAGGGGCTGAAGATGAGTGTAGCTGGAGGGTGAGGGTGAGTGAGGGGCTTAGCTGAGAGTGGCTGTGAGGGTGAGGATGAGTGAGGGCGACCTAAAATGCCGACCTCTGCACACAAGCCGCTCAGCCAATGGCAGTCGCGCTATGGGGCCACATGATTTAAAGGTCCACTAAGGACGCATAAAAGACGTGGCAAAACATGCAGTTTGTTATTATTGGCTGAGGAAATACGAAACTGACGGATGTTCCGCCAACTAGAGGAAGGTTGTGGCTACCCGCCCAAGCAACAGCAATGGCGGGTGGCACCGTTGTTACGAGTTGGAGCCTCTCAAAGATGGGCGAGATCCAGAAAATAGTGCCTGTGCATTTCTATTGCTGTGAGCCTACTAGAGCGTCTTGCCACCTAGAACTGGTAATTTTTATTGACTAAAGCCCAACAAACAATATGCCCATCAGAAACAAGCTTCTACAAAAGTGCCTGTGTGCGCCTTTCAACACTTCTGGTCCTGAACTATACTCAGTGTCACCAGTTGTGTGCAGTGCAGGCGAAGGCAATGCAAGGCAAAGAGAGAAAGGGCAAGCACTAGGAAGGCAGGATGGGAGAGGAGGGCGAGAGGAGAACCGGAGAGCACTAGAAATGTTACAGAGGAGAGGAGGTTTCTCTCCTTCTCCCCAGCCTTCCTAGAGCTTGCTCTTTCTCCCCTTACCTGGTGTTGCCTTCGCCTGTACCGTATGCAACTAGTGACACGAAGTATAGACAGCAGGTTTTGCAGTACTGGCGAGATTAAATCTACGCTCTCCGTTTGGGAAATGGTTGCTTATAGCACTGTCAGGACTTAATTCACTCTTATGGTGAAAAAATTATGCACAAAAATTTTGGGAAATATGCCAACCGGAAGTGTGCCAGGGCTACCGGATAGATGGCGCCACCGAGTTTGTTGCCGAAAGGACGAATAGGGCCATGATGCAGCCTCCAGCACTGAATCAGCATAAAGTTGGGAAACAAATCCGCACCGGGTTAGCGCAGAATTGCGACCGACGGCATATTTCTACGCCCCCATGCCCAGGAGTTTCAGTGTGGCGCCAGGAATCCGTTTCCGACTGGTGTCTTTACCACACCCTAAAAAGTGGTCCCTCGATTTCCGCCCAATGACGCCATAGACGCTTGTCCTGCTGCAGGTTGCTCACCAGCTTGACAGTCCACGGAAGCTCCGGCAGCCAGGAGTTGGGACGCCACAATAACGGCGACATTCACAATTGATCATACTTTCGGCCCGGACCTCTAGCGCCAATCATTATTATCGCGACAACCGACAGCGTGACACTTCTGCTTCTGCGACATCATTTGTTGGCACTTCGGGACCATTTTCAATGCATGTGTGGGATGGGACGCTAAATGCATTGGTCAAAGATGCGTTCCAGGCACCATGGTTTCGGAGACACGCCAGCGACTCCGGCTCGGACCGGGGAGGAGAGCACCGACCTGTAGTAGAAGACCGGGTCTCCTCCGTCCAGCGGCAGCTCTGTGTGGCGGTGCTGCAGGTACTTGCGTGCCAGGTCCTTCCGGTCGCAGTTGTACAGCTCGTGGTTGCCCACCGTGTGGTAGCTGGGCAGGGGCCCCATGGCCTCCAGTACCCGGTCCAACCCCCGGTGGCAGCCCCCGTTGTGCTCGTCTATCAGGTCTCCCAGCTGCAGCACAAAGCCCAGGCCGGGCACCCGGCTCCAATGGTCGTAGGCACGCCGCACCTGCGCAGCCACGAACGCTCGCTGAAACGTGCCTACAGACCGCAGCTCACGAGCACACGAAGCGAAAAACTCTGCCCCACAGCCATGGAATGCCGCAAGTTTGATTAACTGCTCCTGCCCATTTCTATGTGCACGGGCAACATGTCGGTGACTGCTGGAGAGGCTATTCGTTAAAATTACAATATTTTTCCAACTACGCATGCTGATGTCTTGGGTCAATGCCACGTCATAGTAAAAAAAAATGTGGCACATTAGGATACAGCAAAAATAAGTGAATTGTTGTGTGTATGTTTATACTACAGCTGGAAGTTAGTCTGCCTCAGTGGGTGTCTGGTGTCTCAGCTGTAGATGAGCAATTTAGCCAGTGCAGTACAACCGCTAGCCTGGGGTCTTTAACGTGCACCACGCAGTACGATACACGACTGCACGTCGGCACGATTCTCACCCAGATCGAAACGGGCAGAGGTGGGGATTGAACCCAGAATCCTGGGTTCTGCAGCGCGAGCTTTCGCTCCACGTGCTCCGAGCTGGTGCGCGCTAGACCACTCGGCCACCGATCCCCCTATCAGGATACACGAGTGTATTACACATAATAGTAGAATAGCAGAGTTTTTGTTATTGACGACCGGCTATGAAAAAGTTGCAACATTCACGCACCTGTTTTTTCCTCTACATCTATGATTGCGCAAGCCCACTGGTCTGAAAGGAGTGCTTCTCCCTACTCAGCTGTGTGGAAGTGGCAGCGCATGAAATAAGTGCTAAACGTGAGGTCATGTGAGCTTTCAGTGAAAAGGAAATTCCCCTGTAGTTACCACGAACACACACACAAAAAAAAAAGAATTGAAAAGATCTTGATTTGGGGCTACTGATGCAAGCAGGTATTTTATCAACAATTGTAGCTGTTCTCACAATCAAATGCTGCTTCTTTTTCTTAAATGGGTGATGCAACATTTCTAGCTTTGAAAGAATTTGCAGCTTGTAATTTTTATATTCTGTATCTCGAGAAAGGGAACAGAAAACATGATTCCTTCTTTAAAAATACTGCGATTCCGCTGCTTAATAACAAAGGGAAAAACGGGAATATTTCGCCATTTGCAGCAGCGAGTTTCAGCCATGGGAACTATGGCACGAGAACAATCTGGGCGCCTTGTAATAAGCATTATATAGTTGGCAAGATGTGCCCTTATCCGCTTAATCTAAGTCTACGCTCGATAAATTTTACCGTTTGAACATTAATAAATGCATCTAAAGTCCCATATCCTCGACACAATTTTATTATACCAAGTGTTAGTAGCGTCGTAGTCCTTCGATACATTACTGATCACAAAACTTCTTTGTAACGCCATAGGAGAGCTTGATACGCACCCATGTGCAGTGCTAGCGGCGACAAGGGGTCTAAGATCCGTCAATCTAGTCAGCACCACCTGGTCTGGCAACCAGAAAGTGGCATCGAAATTCTGAACCCACTCTGAGCGAGCCACCAGTAGATTGCGGTAAGGCGCCTGAAACGCGTCCCTTTCGTGAACTGTCGAGCTCGAGAGCGACCTGCAGCAGAAACTAGAGGCACTGGAAACCCATACGCTCCATACTCTGGCCCTTCATCGCTTCCATAAATGTTGTTCTGTTCGAGAACAAACAAAATAAGCTTATTTCAGAGTTGTGCTTTCAGAGATCAATAACGAATTACCAGTACTTGCATTCAGTGATCAATTACAGATTCAAGAAAATGTTTTTGTTTTTGGAAATTGTTTGAAAAGTACATGTAACTGCAAATTTGGGGTGATTAACTGAGAGTGGGATGGCCAAATAAAAATGCACCCTCCGGGACAGGGGTTCTCTTGGCGGCAGATTTTAACCCTGTTCCAAACTTTGGTCCAACCAAGTTTCGTGACCAGTAGTACCATCTGCCCGAGGCGCACAAAACCATTCCCTCTGTTCTGACAAGCTCTGCTACCGTGGTGTGCCTCCTCAGGATGTGTGGGTTGCTGCACTTCATCGTTAAATCGCTCACCATGCCGACATTGCACTTCTGCGGCTGAATGGCTGCCGGTAGTAAAAACGTGCCACGGTTCACAAGGTTTTCTAATCATGTGTCTACCACAGCCCGTAAACCACGACAGTTTTCCGCCGATGTGATGCCCAATGTTGCTCGCAGCAAGCGGACACGCACAATGGATTTCAGTAGCTTCCAATAACCACCTCAATGCCTTATTTGTCCTTTTTATCTTTTATTTTTTTATTCAAAAGAAACAGACATTTTAAACACCGATAAACTATCTAATTTGCATTTGCTTGGCATTTCTTAAAGGGGTATGGAAACAAAAATTGAAATATTCAAATTTCGTTCGGAAATGGGTCAAGCATGACGGATAATAACCGTAAATGATGATCGCACGTTTGTATTTTGAACGATTGGCTATATATTTCGTTCCAAACGGTGCGCTCGAGCAAGTGCTCGAAGAGAAGCGAACGGAGAGCGCGATGCGTCATGGGATATCTGGCGCAAACAAAAACAGAAAGAAAAGATTTCCCGCGTTCGTGGAGTAGCAAGGCAGGCGTGGTTATGAGCTTTGCGCTTGGTGGCGTTGTCAGCGTTGTGGTGGTGTCAATAGCGTCAGCGGGTTACAACCGAGCCGTTTGAAGTACCCGTGGGGTGACAAGCATGTGGCTGGCCCAAGGAGCACGTAGCTTCCACAACACTGTCAGCTTAGGGCTGAACGGGGTAGGGAAAGCAACTTTTGTTCGAGTTTTGAGACGGGCTAATCTTCTAGGGGGAGAATGGCTGTTTCTGGTGTCACAAATGAGGGCCCGAGAAAGAGGGGAGTCCTTCCCTTCCGTCCTCTTCGACCGTTTGGTACAATGCGCGACTTGTGAGTTGAGAAGGAAAGCTAAGAGGGAAAATGTTGAAATGCCAAAGAGCGGCGCTGCTCCGAAGGAATCTGCTACGTCACAATTACGTAGCAGATTCCACAACGTTGCTAGACTACCTCCCAAATAGGCTCCGCATGCATCCACCAGGTGCACATTGAAAGATTGTTTATTTAGCTTCAAAATTAGTTTTCTTGTGCCTTGCAACGGAAGACTGGTGTTTTTGAGGTTAGGGTTCAACATGCAACACATTCAAGCTAGAAAATGAGCACTGGAATTTCGTTTCCCTACCCCTTTAAAAGCTCATTGTCTCAAACAAATTTGAGTTATTTACCAGGGATAATGAATACACACACTCAAGATGAAAGAGGGACTCAGCCTTAAAAAGACTGTTCGCATAGGCTAAATTTCTCCAAGGCAGAAAGCATCACTGAAGCAGGAAATGGGCACAAGATGAAGGACTCAACACGGGAAACCAAACTCGTGTATTTTCTCCGCATGTCATCTGCTTAAAAAGTGCAAATGCTGTGCTATGCGAAGGCTAGCCTGCAGTGTTTCTCCTTCCGTTACTCGATTCACTGCCGCACTGTGAATGACCAGCGATTTCTGTCGCTCCGCCGCTCTGACAACCGCTGCACGGTTCAATGCAGTGCAGTTGGTAGTTGAAGAGGCAGCGCATACTGGAGACAGAAACTCAGTGTCCCCGGTGCACCCAGCTACGTGTCACTGCGCACGTGACTCAGGAGACGGTGCAAGAGTTGAGAGCGGTTAAGAGGCGTTTAGAGCTTCAAACTCCGACAATTTTTTTTAAAAGAAAACAAATGCATGGAGGCAAGATTGGTGCTCCGTTTCTATTTCAAATGTCACAGAGAGTAACTCCCCCAATTATTTGATTGAAGTCCAAAAATTGTTGCACGGCCCCTTTAAGAAAAAATGACCGCATCTCCACATGGTGAATGATGTTGATTGGGGCGAAGCTCTGGTGGTGCTTGTCTGCGTAGATGCTGAGCCGCAGCATGCCGAGCCTTTCGTTCGTTTTCATCCATGTCAGAAAGAGAATGTGTCGTATGGAACGTGGTTATATACGCATTGGAGCATTTGACCGCAGCGCTCTCTCGTCTATAAACGTTGAGCCAATGCATGCAAAATTTAACGCGATTACATACGCATTTGACCGCAGCACCCTCTCCTGTATAGACGTTGAGCGGCTACATGCAACGTTTCATCCATGACATCCCCAGCTCTTGAGTTACGTCTCAGAGACCCCTACTCGTCCCGCAGTTGTGGCCAAGTGGTTAAGGCGATGGACAAGAAATCCATTGGGGTCTCCTTGCACAAGTTCGAATCCTGTCAACTGCACAAACATTTCTTTTTTTTTTTTTTTTTCCCTATATGAGCACGTGAGCATGTGAGGTCACGAGCACGATCATGAGCACGAGCACCAGCAAGATCGATGTGAGCACGGACGCCGGACGGACAAGGCTAGACCCTAAGGAGCTTCACCCCTAATATGCTTCACGCAAACATTGGTTGGACTGTTGAGAATTGGAAGCTTGCGACAAGAAAGTGGCATCATGGTGCAGCTCCTAGCAGAGGCAACTTGCATAGACAATCCGTGAAGCAGCCGACCTGGTTTCCAATGAATGTCAGCTTGCCTGAGCACAGCACTATACAAAACGTTCAAGGCCGCAGTTGGCGCTAACTTTTTCTTACACAAGACCAGGAAATTGAGAACACATCCCTCCATACATCGCCAGAAAAAGTCGCAATCCTCTCAATCCCAGTATGTCTACTCTATCCGTGCCAGCGAGTGATGAGCTATTTGATAATAAGAGGAACGACATACACTTCTCATGTAGGATTTATCACTAAGTTGCACTGGTGAATGTCATCCCGTATTGGTTTCCGCACTGTTAAACAGACAAATGATTTGTAGAGGCATGTTCTAGCATAGATAAACAAAAAACATGGCAGCGTGTTGCAGTTGTTGCCGCTAACAATTGCAGGGGACACGACTGAATTTGAGCTCCAAGCAACTTCTGCAGGTTGAATGACATGAGAAGACATAAAAAGCAATGTTGGACATAGATACGTTTTTGAATGTCGACGTGGCAAACCTTTACTCCAGATCACGATTGACAAATGCGGCCGCGGGAAGGCGCAGACGCGGCCAAGACGCTGCGGGTCAAGGTGTGAGCAGCCAGACTTAACGCGATTGCTGTAGTTTGCATTGGTACCAATCGCAGATCGAAGTGCCCCCTCTAGGTGTCGGATGCTCCCAAAAGGCGTGCACAATAACAAGCGATGGGTTCGTTAGCTCTAACAATCGGTAACCAGGCACAACATATTGACGGGCTCCATCGAACTGAAACAAAACGAACGGTACATAAAATCTAGGATGTGATTGATCCAAATGTGTTCAAAGAGGAGGCACCTCAAAAGCTGCTCCAGATAGCTGCACTCAAGTATGACCGACTGCATTACAACGTTTTATGAAGAGACGGCTGTTTTGGCAACGGAGGTGTGAACATGTTGTAATGGTACGCAAGGAGTCAGAACGCAGTCAGTCAAACTCCAAGGCAACTCTCCGAACCAGTCTTAAATATTGCAGAATAGAACGAAGATGTTTCTGTTCTTTTTTACAATTTCCAAAACTCTACAGAAATAGGGAGAGTGGGTTGGCATGAACTTTACTGAGTGCTCTCCATGCTGGGGCAGATGTCCACAATTGGCAAAACGTAAGAGAACTGTACTCAAGAACCCTTATCGATTTCGCACTGGACTGGAATTCGCCGCACCCACTATAGCTACACTCGAAAATTATCGAGAGTAGCTATAGTGGGCTATAGTAACTACCCTTAAAGACGGAGTGCTTGCACCTGTCCCCCACCTGGTGTATCTGCCTGTCTTATCTCGGCAAGGATTCTCGGTAAGGCAAGTGGATGTGACCCAGATAAGGATAAGCGCAGTGCTGACCTGGTTCAGAGCATTGCGATAGTAGCGCATCAAGGAGGGGTCGTAGCGGGCTGGCTTGTCGTCGTGGTCCGCATACTGCACGTCGGCCAGGACTCCGAAGGTCACCAGTGGGTCTTGGCTGCTGCACTTGAAGCTGCGCCAAACACGAAAGAATGAGTTTTCTTCCCAGAAGAGATCTGCCACGAAGCAGTAAATTATTACAATGCCTGCACAAGGAATTCTTGCTGTTTAAACCATCATTCTACACTCAATTTCTGTTACCCACCCCTTCTCTGTTTCTACCTAATCACGAAAAAAGTGAAAAGTTTGCAAGTAGCTGCCCCCAAAATATAATCATGCATCTTTAAAAAAAAAAAAAAATAATCAGTTTGAATTTTTTTTTTTTTAACTCCCAAGTTATATACAGGGTGTTTTACAAAATGCAGGCCAAATCGTTTCTGCAATAGGCATGTATCACACAGAAAAGAGGTTGACATATTGGCCTCTGCAAAAGAAGCCATTTAGGAAATGAATAACATTTAGTTTCACTGGGTTATCAAATACTTTTCAGTAAATAACATTTTAATTACTAAATTTAAGGGCATGGTTCCAATTAGAAACTCTGGGCATTATAGGAAACCACAAATCGGTGCACTTTACAGGAAAATAAGTCATGCACAGCATTTTACAAGGTTTAAAAAAAACACTCAATTAGGGTGCATCTATAGGTTTGGGTTTCCAAACGGAAAGCATCTCACCAGCAGCCCTATCTCCGCCCATTGATGAAGCGTGCAATCACTGCCCCACCTCGTACGAGAAGAAAGTATTGGATGAGCCGGCAATACAGAACACTTCTGTTTAAATGACAATGAAAAAAAAAAAAAAAACATGTTTGATTCTTGGGTTCACCTTTGCCACACGAAGGATGCGAAGAATGCGTGGCGACGAAAGTTAGTTGCATGCTCTAACCACAAGGGAACAGGACTGCTGGCACAGAAGTATGTTTCGACAGGAAACCGAAACCTCAAAGCACTCCTAAATCAAGCATTTTTTCGGACCGCCGTAGAATTCTGCGCATACCTTATACATTTACAATATGGGCAGATTTAGTAGTTCTTACATTTATATTTAGGGGTTATTAGGGCGATTAATGAAAAGTGGTTATTAACCTAATTACACCAAACACTACTCATCTTCCTTGACGGGGTCTTTGGCAAAGACGAATACGAGATCAATTTTGTTTTTTTGTGCGATGCATACTTTTTGCCGGAACAATTTGGTCTACGTCTTGTGAATTGGCCTGTAGATACATCCGGCTCGTAAAGATGAAGCTACCTGAAAGACCTAAAGTACTTCTTGAATTTGTTTAAATTGATCCAGCAACATAAAACACCAATAGTAATTGACAGGAGGAGAAAGGCAGGGAGAAGTCACAGTTGTCCATCTCTAAGGCAAGCTTCATGCCTTCGATAATGCTTCGGCGTATTGTGAACCTCGAGCTTGCATGTGCAGCCAAAGCATGACAGAAGGCAATGGAAGCATGCTGGGGGCCAGCGACTCAAATCGTAACCGATTCCAAAACTCGCTTTTTATTTTCTAGAACGAAATCTTATATTTTTTTTTTTTCACCACTTTGCCAGATGCATGACTTGCAACAACGTTGGTTGACTAGGCGAGATCTTGCCACAACCAAAGATGGTGTTTCTCAATAGGTTCATGGATTGTCTAGGCCAGGGGTCTCCAAAGCCGACCAGCAGATGTCTGCGGTCTTTCCGGCGACGCCTAGCCCACAGCCCGTTGCAACAAATACAAAAATAAATGAGCATAAAAAAAAGAAAAGAATAAAAACCCTGTTATGACATGCACCAAAACCAGAAACAAAGATATCAGAAAGAATGAAAGAGGAACTCGTCAAAATGCGGGGTCTCCCACCATATTATTTATTGTTCTCCCACCATATTATTTATTGTGCATTGTCCATCACCAAACTTATCATTTGTAGTCCCCTCGTTAACGTCTTTGTAACTATTTTAAATTCCTTTGCATTCTCATCTATATTGCGCTTAGTGCCCCGTGTCATAATTATTGCATATGGCCATTATTCGATATACCACACACACCGCCTCGTGGCTGCGCGTGCTTCTCGAACACGTCCACTTGGATAAATTTAGTTTTGGTGCACTAAGACAGATAAAAAATGTCAGAAAGACAAGGTGGAGTGGTGTAGTGGTTAGTATGCCCAAACAAATATTTGGAGACGCGAAGTTAGAATTCCGACTCTGCCAAAGAATGTGTCTTTTAACGGCTTTGCAGACTTTGTTTCATTCCATCAAGCACGGTTCATTCATCCGCATATTTTTGATTATATATATTTATCCACCTTGAATATTTTTTAATTGTTTTATATAGTTTAGTTTTTGTATTTAAATCCTAATTTAGCTTTATTTATTTAGTATTTCCTCATTTATATTGCCTTACTTTTTTTCCAGCCCTTGAGACTGCAACAAAACCCCCCTAATCCGGCCCCTTGGTCAAAAGGTTTGGAGACCCCGGTCTAGGCAATCAGTTGGGATACAGTAAAGCATTCCTTAAAAGTTTCTTTGGGAAACTACCATTGACAAAGGGCTAAGCTGCAAAAAGAAGGAAAGCCTACCTCATATCCGACTCCATGGTAGCCTCTCCTGGCAGTAGGACCCTGCAACCCAACAGAAGTGTTAGTAGGGAGTCATCCACACGGCTAGATTCTGGTACACATTCCAGAGAGTCGGCACCCAAAACAATGCAAGTCCCGAAGGCAGCAACACCGCAGCATGTCGGATTTACCTTGAAGCATGGAATCCGCTTGGTCCGTACGAAACACGCTAATGCTATTTGGAATAGGCGTCCATGAGGAAGAGAGAAATCCTGGGTGCTTTCTTTTCAGACGAGGACAAAACTGGAAGCCAGGACGCCGGTTCGCTGGTGGCGACGACTCAACTTGCATAATCACTGGCGGCTTGCCTAAGAATGGCAACGAAGGTGGCAGCAGCCGATGAACGCGGCTTGGCTTCTTGGTCAATTCTTGCTGAAGCGTGCTCGCCAGACGACCTCGTGCGAGTGCCGGTGGGGCAAGGCAAGACCACTCCTTGCCTGTGTCACGGAAAAGACACACTTTGGGGAAGGACGACATCCTGGCCTTTCGCCGGAAGCGAAGAAGCACGGGGAGGTGTTCGGTGCAGAAGTGTCGAGTTCCTGAAAATAGATTGACCGCCGGGTTGGTAAAAGGAAGCTGGATGGTATTCAGGATGGGGGATAATGAGTTCTCTCAGCCTGAAAGTTTCCCAGCTAGGAGGCTGAAGAATCCCCGTGTTGACACCATAACAACCTGCATCAAGAGTGTTGTGGCAGGGTTGACAGGCAATGCTGTTAAGGCCTTCCAACAAACGAAAGAGGGCATGCATTTGGGTCTAAACCTCACCATACCTACAAGCCCTCCCAGCAAACACTGTCGGCAACCTGACAATTCACCTTTTGGCAAATGAAACTGAAGCCGCCATCAAGCTGGTGGCGGTTCCCGATGCGAGCGTTTGTTGGTCATTCATTAGTCCAGTATATGGCAGGGTTTTAAGGAAACAGCACATCCTTGATGCCACTTTAACACATCTATGGTTCCTATTGCTCTTCACTGGTCAGGGAGAATAGGTTCTATGCTGCCAAGTTTGAAACGTGGCCAGTGAAAGCCACATAAATGAACACATGCCAGTAATTTATAGCGACTGCATGCAGATGGTCGGGATAACCCACGTAGCACCCAATGTCGTGCAAACATTCCCTGGGTGTTCTGAATGTTGAAGGAACGTTAAAACACCATTCAGAACGTTCTAGGAACGTTCGTATGCGAACATTCCCCACAAGGTAAGCTGCTCAACATTCTAGGAATGTTCGTTGGCGAACATTCGTATGCACAATATTCTCGGAACATTCTTTGAACGTTCCTAGAACGTTCTGAATGGTGTTTTAACGTTCCTTCAACATTCAGAACACCCAGGGAATGTTCGCACGACATTGGGTGCTACGTGGGTTAGTGGGTGGTGTTTCGAACCTGTGGTTCGAAACACCACCCACTATATGCCACTTTGTGCCAAAAATATGCAAATTAAGTGGAGTTTCTGGAAACTTAGCATAAAGGATCAGTTTTATCTTATATGAATCTACTGAGGAATGTGATATAAGGTGTAGGAGAAAAACAATGGTTTTCAAAACTTCATATTAAACTTGGCACTCACTGCATATGTAGAGGTACAGTTTTGAATAGACCCAATTTTTAGCATGCGGGGTAGAATACTTTGAAAAGGGTATACACCAACTCAACTCTCCTACGTCACGCCGCGGTGGTGGCGCGCCGGACGCACTTCCGGTCTCGGGCGGTGGGCAGAAGTCGCCGTGCCAGACATGCATTCCTGTGTTCCTTTGGAAGAAACGAGACAAAAAACCTGCCTTCTCGTCAAAATGCTGCGATGGGGGCTTTACAAAGAGAGTCTGGCAAGGTTTGAAGATCAGTTTTCATGTGTTTTTGCACCCTCCGTTCGTCCGAGAACGTGGATAGCAGCCGTGAAAAGGGCAAACCTGACGCTGTCGAACTACGATTGCGTGTGCGGGCCACAATTTGTAGTCGCCAGATGTATTTGCTTTGTTCCAACATGACCGAGAGAAAACCCCCAAGTTGTCCGGACCACCCACGGATTCAGTGCGTCTTCAAATTCACACGGCCGCCTGATCGTTCGAACTTTCGTCTGCTCTTTCAAAGTTGTCTGCTTTTTGTCGTCTGCTCGTTCAAACAAAAGCGGCCCGTAGACCAAACTTTGACCCGGTGATTGCAATAAGAAGTAATTGCAGGCCTCAAAAGACTTAAGTAGGCTCGGTGTAAACAGTAGATACAAGATGTTAATTATTGGTACCGGTGGCCATCACCTACTTGTTACGCTTTGTCTGTTCCCGCTTCCGATTTTCAGTATCGATGTCGATCATCGCCGCTACCTTTTACACTTTTGCAGCACGAGCGACGTCGCGACCGAAAATAGCTACAAGAATCTCATCATGGTTTTGGCGTCCATTCTGCAGCGTTCATGCGAATGAATCGCTGCACGTCAAATTATTTACGGAAAGTTTAGCGGCGTAACGAGCCTTGATAATTTCGCTCAGGCGATTGAAGTGGTAAGACATTGCGATGAGGACGTAGAATCGACAACTCCAACGCGAAAAAGAGTATGCAGACTCACACAGACGCCGACAACGTGACATTCGAATGGTTTGTTGACGCGGGACGCGGTGCTTCTTGCCCGTACTCCATTGCGCGTGCGTTCGAACTGTCGTCTGCTCTTTCAAACTTGGCTGCTTTTTGTCGTTAGTTCGTTCAAACGACAGCGGCTCGTAAACGAAACGTTCACCCGGTAATTGCGATAAGAACTAAGTGCAGGCCTCAAAACACTTTTGAAGGTTGGTTGGGGTAAGTCGGCTAAGTGTAAACAGATACAAGAAGTTGTTTGATCATTGTTACCAGTGGCCATCACCGACTTGTAATGCCCGATACTACTTGAGGTTTTCAGTATCGATGTCCACCATCTCAGCTACGGTCCACGCTTTTGCAGTCCGAGCAACGTCGCGACTGAAAATAGCGAGCGGAATCTCGACGTGGGAGTCAGGCTTTAGCGCCCATTCTGCGGCGTCCACGTAAAATGAATCGCCGCACGTCACATTATCCACGCAAAGTTTTGCCTCGATAGTTTTGCTGAAGCCACTCAAGTAGTCAGACATTGTAAGGAGGACGTAGAATCAACAATTCCAACGCGAAAAAGAGCACGGGGACTCCCACCGACGCCGACAACAACGCAATTCAATGGTTTGTTTATGGGCGACGGCGGGCCTCTTGCCCACCATCCACGGCGCATGCGCGGCGCCGGTGACGTCCGCTAGGGGCGCTCCAGTTTGTTTGTAAACATGAGTTGGTGTATATCCTGCAGTTGAGTGTGGGATGCCATGTGTATCTGTTCTAAGCTCGGAGTGAGTAATGAGCTGGGAAAGTGGTAATCTTCCGCTTTCTAAAAATATCTTTCGATTAAAAAATATCCATCACCCTGTGAGCAGCTTTACCATCGTCCATATATGTAGTACGGCTCATTGGTGCTGTTTCCTAATCAAACCGTAATTGTAAAATCTTTGTACATAAGCCTCAGGAAACGCTCCCTGAATGTAGGGATGTACCCACGCACGTTCCGGGGAGATTGATAGGATGTCCCTGCATAAATTTACAACATTTCAAGAAAGTTGCAGAAGTTCTTTGGATGTTCTGAGAACATTCTTAGAACCTTGTTAGGATATTTGAATGTTGATTGAATATCCTGGTAATGTTCTATGTCATTCTCAGACCATTTTAAAAATATCCCTTTGAAAACATTCCCCGAATGTAGCGATAAGTGCCTGCGCCACATTCTGACAACGTTGATGGACTGTTCTTACGTAAATTTCCAACATTCCAAGAACGTTGCCTATGTTCTCTTGAACATTCCCAGAATGTTCTCAGAAAGTTCTCGTGCTATGTGGGATTGTGGGTCTTAGGCTAACAACTCAACCAAAATGCTACATAGCTATGTTGCAATTTTGTAAAAGTGCAAATAAAGCCTTATTAGTATTATGAATGACGGTCAAAAAGTTGCCACCTCGGTGGCTCCGAGGCAAGCCACTGGCCTAGTGGTCGTGAGTTGACGGGTTCAAATTGACGTGCAACCGAGATTTCGGCTGTACGTCAAAGGTCCCCAGGCGGTCCAAATGAATCCTCATATAAGTCCTCCGCAGGAGCGTGCCACATGCCCTTTGATGGTTTTGAAAGTAAAACCTCCCTCCAAATTTGATTTCAAGAGGTTGCAATCGCTGGCCAGATATCTCTACATAAAGAAAGTGCAAAAAAGGTTGGAGAAACACACACAGTGCGGAAAAGGTCCCTTCTTTTTTGCACTTTCTTTCATCTAGCCCAGCAATCCACTATTTTACAAATCGTGAACCAGTTGCCGACAAGGTCGCAAAAACAAAAGTATACAGCGACACAACAAGGAACATATTGGCGAACAATTTTGCATGTCTGCCTTTGTACGTCTCTGGGCCGTGTTCTTGATTATTTAACCTACAAATTGCGCCATGTGACAAAGAACTACGTGTCTTTTGCACCGCAAAAAAAAAAAAAAAAAAAAAAAAAAAAAAAACTATGCATTGCTGAAAGCCCAGGGGCCCTATGTTGCATGCTTTGGACTCCCACGGCGACTATGGAGAAGGAAGTGACGTCAACAACGCAGCAAATGCAGATTGGATGTTGATTGATGAGAGATCAGTCAAGATCCAATCTGCATTTGCTGCGTTGCTGACGTCACTTCCTTCTCCGTAGTCGCCGTGGGAGTCCAAAACGTGCAACATAGGGCCCCAGATTCTGGCGGAATGTAGAGCAGGCGGATGACCTATAATACCAAAGTGTCATGATTTGCGATTACCGGTGCAAAATGATCAGCAAAAAACTGATCTGACCTACAGGTCTGCCCTCGAGTGGAGATAGCCCCATCGTCGATGACAAGCAGTAGGGCCAAGCAGTATGTCTCACAAGAGGACAAGCCCGTAAAACGCTTGGCACGAGTTGTGCATTTGACAGCGCTTCGCGTATTAACAAACCAGATTGGAGTGAGTTGTGCATCGCGTAAATCAGCGAAGTGATAGGATAGTACAAATCGGTACAAACCACCGCTGGTGTCGCTTGCACCAGAGATTATCTACGCTTTGCGGCCGTGCTTCCGCAACCTACAAAGCAGCGGGTCAGCTTACCGATAGCAGGAGGTCTTGAGGTGCACGGCTCGAAGCGCGGCGGTGATGATAACTGCTGGGCGAAAAAAAAAACAACCTGACAGCGATCGAGCGATCTTCACTGGTCGAGGGGCAGAGAGAACGCGCTTTTTATGACGATAGATATCCAGGAAAGTCACGATGCTGACGATCCCAACGGTTGGACGACCCCAACCAGCCCAACCCGCGAAAGCTTATCTAGAGTACGTACACTCCAGCTGCGCTAGAGCGCTAGATATCAGAGATACAGATAACGTTGGAAAGAGCAATGGCAATGCAGGCAAAACAGGCAAAAGGGCAAGAGCACAGCAAAAGGGACAGAGCCGTGTATAGAGATGGCTGTGATGTTGGATACAGAGCCCCTTGAGAATGAAGGGTGGGTTGCGCCACCTAGTAAGTATCTCAACGGTTTTTCCGAAGCGCGGCGCGTTGGCGCGTTCAGTTCGGAATGTTTTGAAAATCAGCACCGGTACGGCCGGTGTGATGGTAGTGGTACGGCTGCTAACATCTTGTACAACAGTGACTACGAGGACGCCCAGTATGAAGCTTGATAATGTGGATGCGTGGGCTAGTTGTTGATTCATGCTTGGATGGAACAGCGGGGATATTTAGTCATACTCACGGGCGCACAAGAAAAAAAATTGGGTTGTGTGGTATGTTTATACAGTCTAGAACTTGGTCTGCCTCACAGAAGCGACGAGTCTCCCAGCTGTAGATGAGCAATCTAGCCAGTGCAGTACAACCGCTAGCCTGGGGTCTTTAACGTGCACCACGCAGTAGTGATACACGACCGCACGCCGGTACGATGCTCATCCAGATCGAAACGGGCAGGGATGGGGATTGAACCCAGGATCCCTGGGTTCTGCAGCGCGAGCTTTCGCTCCACGTGCTCCGAGCTGGTGTGCGCTAAAGTCACTGGATCCTGGGAAAGTAGTACCATTGCCTTCCCTACCTGCTAGCCGCACACAAACGGAAACTAACATACAGACGACCCAAACCTCGCAAGGCGATTGGCTAATCGGCCTAATTAGAAAATTTATTTGCAACACTGTGGACAGGATTTTGTAAGAGACGCGCAGAGGTTAAGAACACTGTGTACATATATATGCGCGAACCAGTGTCTGTACAGTTGGCGGGTCTTTGCCGCGGAGCCACACGCACAAGTTCGAAGGCGCACACCCCGAGGTGTCCCCGTCCGCGCGATCACTCACGCGGCCGAAGCGTCATCCCAGAGCCGCACACCCGCGCCCGCGCCCCCAACGGCACCGCTCTGAACTCAGGGACCTAGAGGTTGTCCAGGTACCTGAAGCGGAGTTCAATCCGCGAGTCGCGAACGCTCAGGTACCGGCAGGACCAGCGCCTGAGGAACTCTTGTTCTCCGAGGAAAAACAGTTGCTCCTCGAGGTGTCCCACGAGCTCCCGCCGGAGCCGCCACAGGAGGGGCCAAAGAGCACGCGATCGACGCGCCTGTCTCACCGCGCAGCACCGGTTCCTCCACAGCACGTACTCGGCCGCGGCGAGGAGGAGACGGACGAAGACGCCCGGAGGGCATCTCCCGCGCAGCAGGTAAAGTCCTACGCCCAAACCGCGGAAGCTGGTGCGGATGACGCGCCAGAACGTCCGCGCCACAACGCACTCCTTCACCGCGTGCACATTCGTTTCGCGATTCCCACAGTTAGGGCACTCGTCCGTGCGCGACACGCCCCAGCGGAGCAAGCGGTCTCCGCTGGGGAGGACGCCCCAACCGTGCTGCCATTCGAAGTCCCGTAGGTGCCCCGGGAGATACGAAGAAGTGAGGCGGGACCAGGAGAAAGAGTCTCCGAGCTCCACCTGCGTTGCCGAAATCTGCGGCTCCAGGAGGACCTCTGTGAGACGAGCCGTCGGTGTCTCCACTACGTCCAGCTGGGGTGCCCGCTCTTTGAGACGTTTGAAGAGCTGTATTGCCCTTCGGTAGTCAGACGGCGGGGTTTCGGCACAGGGGCCGGGTGAGCTCGGCGACTCGACTCCCAGTTCTCGCCGGGAGTGCCCCACGAAGTAGAGCGCGAGGGATCGGGCTGGGCCGTGCTCATCGCGCAATATCTTCAGCATGGTCTTGAGTTGGAGTACTGCGGGTGCGATGTCAACACTGGGAAAGCCCCACCCTCCACGCTCGCGCGGGAGGCAGACAACCGGCCGAGTGACCAGCTCCGTCTTCTCTGACCAGAAGAAGCTGTAGAGCGCGCTTTTCACCGGTCGAATGAAACGTGAGGTCGGGAGCGCCGTTTGCGCCAGATACCAGAGGCGTCCACAGAAGACAGAGTAGGCTAGGTACCTGCGCTCGGCCAGGGGAAGGGCGTAGGTGCGAGCAGAGTCCACTTTCTCCCCGATGTCGCGCGCCAGGCGCGTCCACATGTCCGCCGAGACTCCTGACGAGCGGTAAGTGACACCAAGGATCGTGACCGAAGTTTTTGCCGGGATCGGTGAAGAGGGGTCAGGCGGTCGGTTAACCCACAGCACCGCGCTCTTCTGCTCATTCAACCTCGCTCCGGAGAGAGAACCGTAGGTCTCGAAGATCCGGAGAGCCGCTCCGAGGTCGTCGGTGTCCCGCAGGTACAGTGTAATGTCGTCGGCGTATGCCGACACCTTCACCTCGCCGTTTCCGGGCAGGGAGAGTCCGCGGACCTGGGGGGTCCTTTCGACGTTGGCTAGGAAGGGCTCCAGGGTAAGGACGAAGAGCAGCGGCGAGAGTGGGCAACCCTGGCGGACCCCCCGGGTGACGGGGAAGCTGGCCGTCACACCGCCGTTTAGATAGAGGTCGCTCTTCATGTCACTGTAGAGCATCTCGAAGAGTCGAACCCCTTCAGGGGGAATACCGAAAGCGGTGAGCACGGCCAGGAGGAACGGGTGCTCCACCCGGTCGAAAGCCTTCGCTTGGTCGAGGGAGGCGATCAGGCCTCTGGCTTGGCGAGCGTTCGTGTATCGCACCACGTCCCTCGTCAGGGATGTTAGGGTCTGAATGCTGCGGCCGACGATCGAGCACGTCTGGTGGGGTGTCACCACGTACGGGAGCAAGCCGTGGAGGCGCTGCGTGATGATCGACGCTAGCAGCTTGTAGCTTGCGTTGAGTAGCGTGATGGGACGCCACGCGCCCGGGTCGTTGGGGTCTCCTCCCTCCTTAGGCAGAAGAATGATTCTGCCTCGGCGGAACGACTCTGGAAGGCGGTGCTCCGTGAAAAATTCCCGGAGCACGGCACAGATATAGTTGCCCAGCACGTCCCAGAAGGTACGGTAGAATTCGGCTGGAAACCCATCTGGGCCCGGCGCGGACCCAGTTTTCATTCTTGACAGGGCAAGGAGCACCTCTTCGGGGTTGGGGGGCTCGTGCAGGTCTGCGGCTAGGTCTTCGGGAACTTGCGGGAGATCGCGTAGGAAGGGGTGCGCCACGAGGGTCGCACGGTCCACCGCCGATTCGGTGGTTGCCAGGGCCCGGAAGTGGGCGCTGAAACCGGAGACCGATGGTTGGCCTGGTGTTGCTGGCGCGCCTGGGGTTGTCGGCACTGAAGGGACGCGTCGCTCCCGCACTTCGGTGCGGTGGGCGTAGCGCAGCACCTCGGGGTGAGCCGAGGGCCCGACCCGTCCGTGGTAGGCTGTGGCTGCGTTGGTACAAAGTCGTAGCTGTCGCTGGTAACGGTCGAGGAGCTGCTGCAGGTAGCCCCGCATTAGCGGAGTCCCCGCGCCGCCCCGTCGCACGATCCGAATTCGCAGAGAGGTGTCTCGGAGCTGCTCGGCGTGCCGCCGACGCAGTGCACGACCCTCCGCCACGCACGCCACCCGCCAGCTGTCTTGAAGCCGGTCAAAGGTCAAGGGGTCTGGTGCCGCTCCACGGAGGGACCGGCGCAAGGCTTCTCTCAGGCAGTCGCGGCTTGTTTTGTCTCGCAGCAGTCGGGTGTCGAGACGCCAGGTGCGTTGAGAACTGGCTTTGCTGCTGAAGCGGAGCTCTACGAGTACCGGACGGTGGTCGGAGATGTACGTAGTGGAGGGAGGGAAGTTCACTGCGCAGCAGGCGGTGACAGAGGGGCTCAGAAACTCGGAGATGTAACACCTGTCCAGGCGACTGCTCGAGTTTCCTCGTTGCCAGGTATGCTCGAAAGCGGTGCCATGGAGCAGAGTCCAGCAGTCCACTAGATCGAAGTGTCGCATCAGGCGTATCAGCTCGCCGGCGTTCCACGTGGTGCGTCCGTAGCCTGGGCCCCTGACATCGCGCCGGGAATCGACGACGCAGTTGAAGTCGCCGAGGAGCAGGCAGTGGCGAGCGTCGAGCAGATGGACGTCCAGGCTCTTGAAAAAAGCCGGGGATTGCGAACGTTGGGCTGGAGCGTACACGCCCACAGCACGAAAGCGCGTGCCGTCTACGAAGAAATCAAAAGCGATGTACCGCCCGTCGGGGTCAAAGCAGCACGCGCTGAGACGGAGGAGCGAGCGGTTAAAGATAATGACCCCCACCCCCGAGCTCCGTGTAGTGGCGCATGAAAAGAAACAATCCACCCCATATCGCTGCTTGAAGAGGTCCACGTCGCGCTGCCTGTGGAAGTTCGTTTCTTGCAGGAACAGGAGGTCGCAACGGGCGGTTCGGGCGAACTGGATGACCTCGATCTGTTTTGTCACGCTGCGGAAGCCCTGAACGTTCAGGGTGATGACTCGCAGGTGCGCGAAAAGGGGATGGATGGGGGGGGGGGGGGGGGTCGTTGTGTTCACTGCTAGTCCGTGGATGTATCGGATGTGATGCACGAGCTGTCAGACAGCGCGACGAGGTCCTTCCGCAACCGCTTGGGAGCCGCTGCCGATGTTGGAGTAGATCCTGGGGACCCTGATTCGCCGCTGCTGGAAAGATCTCGCTTCCCGTCTTCGGCACCGCCATGCGGGCTGCGACTGCGGCTGCAGGTTTTTCGGAGTTCCTCGGAGGTGCCGCGGCGACGATCTCGGCCGCGCGGCAGAGCACTGTCTTTGTCGTGGGCAACCTCGTCGATGACGAGGCGGTCGTCCGACGATGAGGCAGAGTCCTCCGTAATGTCGCTCCAGCTGGGAAGCGGGCTGGGGCAGAGTTCTGGCGTTCGCGGGCGTTCCTCCTTCACCAGTACTTCCTCTGAGCCGGGACTGGTAGGAGTGGGCGCGTGCACAGATGCGGTGTGGACCACATTCGAAAGCGCGGCCTCGGCGCCGTCCTGTGACGCGTTCGAATTCGCGTCGGTGGCGCTTGCCGGCTTCGACTGTTGCGATGTCGGGGCGAGCTCGGACGGGGTCGTCACTGGGGGCTCGGCGGGGGCAGGCGTGTCGCCGGACCCTTGGGT